CTCCATGAGTCTCTCTATTTCTGGAGTACATAAACATATATATATATATATATATATATATATATATACCACCGGTTTTGTAATGCAGGCATTCCTATTATGAATTTGTAGTCTCTAGTTCAGACTAAATAGAACACACATACATCAGCAAACAGCTTTTGGTTAGTCAGTTAGTCGAAAGAGCTCAGTCAAAAGAGCTAAAAGATCTACAATATATGAAGGACCACAGATCACTTTAAATACAAATAAAAGCATCTTAAAGTTGATTTTACAACTGCTGTATGTACAGAGGCCAGGCCAGACTGAAATAATGCATTTAGTGTTGGTCATTCTGGACCAAGTAAAGGTGAGCAGGTTCCGAAGTAAAACCAAGAGGCTCTGGGCTTGGCTTCTGCTATACACATTACAGGGAGGCACATGAGTGAAGATCAATCATGGTAAGGTTATTCACATGTCACATTCATGCTGTTGTCAGGTGGAGATGGAGAGGCTGAGGAGGGAGGATGAGGCCATGTCGGCAGCCAGAGAGAAGGAGCAGTTGCGACAAAAAGTCTGCAGCCTGGAGCAGGAGCTGGCTGAAAACCAGGATGAGGTGCAGGCCCTGCAGGTGAGAGGCTGTGGGATTATAGCCAGGGATGGGGTAGGGGTTACACTGTGGGGGCAGAGTAAATGCTTTGAAATGGGCCCCTACACATACAGTATAACATGTAGGTGAACAATTTATCTTTATTGTTACTACTGACTTATACGGTATATTTCTTTATCATTAATGAGTAATACAGAACGATCAGCAAATCATGCCAGTCAAGCGATAACCTAATGGAAAGCCATCAGCATGTCAGATGTACTGTTTAACATTCACAAGATGTTATGATTTAGTCCCCCTCACAAGGAGGGTGAGGGAGAACTGAGGTAGGACTCAAGAATGCAGACCCAGGTGCTAGTAAGAAAAGGTGGTTTAATGGAAAAAAAAACACAAACAAGGTAACAGAGTCAAACAAAGTCCATGTACATATACAATCCAGGTAGGACAGAGATGGTTGCGGAGACCAGGACGAGCAGATGAGTAGGAGGATTGCAGGAAACAGGAGAGTAGAGGACCAGGACAAGGCAGGAGAATAGACAAGAGAACGACGACGGGTGAGAAGACAGGAGGGACACAGGAACGAGAAGACAGGGCTAGTATAGCGCTAGTCGTCCGGTACCTACGGCTGGGAAAATCACCGTCAGATACACATGGCTAGGAAAGTTCACCAGAGGTAATCACGGCATCGCCGTCAGATACACGTGGCTAGGAAAGTTCACCAGAGGTAATCACGGCATCGCCGTCAGATACACGTGG